TTTTGCTCCTCTCTCTGACTTGGCTCGCTCTGCCTCACTCTCTCTCTCTCTCTCTCTCTTTGGTCCTAGACCGTCACCCTTAATACACCCACTCAGGTAAGCTTCAACCTTGGCGGCTATGGCCGCCCTAACATTGGAGTAACACTCCAGCGCCCTCTTCTTCCTCAGGCGCAAGGTGCACAAGTTGCCTTAACGCACAAGCAGCAGCAGCGCTTCCACATCTTGCTAAATCAACAAACGTTGAGCCGCTGCACTGTAGCAGCTAAATATAGGACTTGACTTGGCTTGGCTTGGCTTGGCCTGCTTCAGATCGGTACTGGTGGCCGCGGCCTGTCTGCTGCAAACATTTTGCTCGTCCGGTACCTTCCGGACTTTCCTGGGACATGCTGCAAAATTGGACTTGGGACTGTTGGACTGGACTGGACTTCTCTGCACTTTTCTTGTTGGGTACCGGACGGACTTCTACCGACCTACGACTTTTCGGTACCGACACCTACCAATATACGACGCTTCAGCCTACGGACGCTACAGCCTATCCTACCGGGACAGCCTGGGACTGGGATACTTTGGGACTCTGGGACCGGAACTGGGGTGTCTGCAGCGCGAATCCTTTCATATCAGATAAAACAACACCTTTCTCCCGCTAAACTTTCTCATAATTTTCATTGCACAGGAACATTTTTTTCAATCCATCCTCATACCGTAGAGGACACTCAATCCATGTTTCGCTCGTGTATCGATCAAGTGGGGCCAGAAGTTCCAGAACCAATTCATCTAAAGCCGGCCTCACACCAACCACATACTCGCTCATAACACAGCCTGAGGGCATAGGCTTGCCCTTCGTGCTCACCCTCCTAAAATCGACACGGAGCATGTCACGAACAACCCCTGCCTTGCGCAAGTTGTCAAGAGCCTCATTGCATGCCCGGTTCAAACATTCCCGTGTCACCGAGGAAAAGGCACATTCTTTGCGTTGAACAGGAATGGGTTAATTTCATCTACATCACTCAGCTTGACTGCGATGTGCCCATTAATCTTGGGCAGATCGAAGTTAGCACAAACACACTCAAACGTGTCACTCTATGCAAACCCTTTTCAGTTATGCAGTAGATCTCCGACGGATTTGGCTTTCAGCTCGATGGGCCGAGTTTTGTTCGCATACAGTTCAGCCAGTAGTGTAGGTGTGAAATTGCCAAGGATCCAGTCACTCACAAAACAATCAACTTTCTTTTATCAATTGAAAACGAAAGCGCGTTTATGCCAAATTTCTTCTTACATACATCAGTCAAAATACCTCGGACTATCTGCCTCCCTCGGCACTGGTTGATGGTTTTAATTGAGCCGTCGAGATCAAGTAGATTCTCAGGGCTTAATTTGAACAGGTCTCTGCGTTTCCATGGCACAGGCAGGAGAGAGATCACCGCAGTTTAGTCCTAGTGCGAATTACTTCAGTAACAACCCATTCGCCACCAGATTCAATCTGCAGCTTGGCATCTTTCAGCAAAACTTTCTCCCCTTGTATCCTGATTTTAGAAAACAACGTACTACAAAACGACAAGGCGCCCCACTTTCATCCATCTTCTACCTTTGTTATTCGAAATTGTAATTTGTTTAGAGAGGATTTTACAGATACGCATCAAATCAGGTCCGTTACGAATGTCACAATCATGGCAAGCAAACAACAATGCTTCAACAAGCTTCACAGCAGAAGGCAACTAGCCTTTCGCTGGTTTCTTTTTCCCATGTGACCTGTGAGCGCTTCGACGATTCTTAGCACCGCGGGCATTCAGACCCGGGTTATAGCCCTTGATGATGGCTTGTTCGAAACACTCGATCGCTGAATCGTCACCAAACCATATGGGTATTGGTACGAGGGCATCAATACCGGCTTTCCTTAGCCAGGAATGTACATTTTTGCTTGCTTGCGCCGTTGGCAGACCGAACGATGACTTCATCCATCCTCACATAGTTAAGGAGGCCTCTCTTTATACATCCGCCTACCCTTCTATTGTCTCTGTCATGCTCGGTGACAATCAGGCAAAGTCCTTCGTTGACTGTGTGGTGCCTGATCTTCTGTTTTCCTTCCCCTTGCAGATGCATACTCTTCGCAAGGGCCCACGGTTCCATGACCAATGGACCTTTGACGTCATGGAAACCTTGTATGATCTTGTTCTTGGCACTGCATACTCTGTGTGGCATACTGCGTAGCCACACGGGCCCTGCAGGGCCCATCCCGGACAGTCAGCCTAAAAGCCTAAAACTTAGGGCTTACAGGCCCCGGTCGTTTCAGCCTGAATGCTGAAAAACGAGGGCCAGCAGGCCCTACCCCGTTTCAGCCTATTTCTGGGTCTTTTCAGACCCAGAGTTTTCAGCCTGAAATGGAGGGCCATTTTCAGGCCCTCATTGTTTCGACCTGCCCCTAAGACTCAGGCACGKAAACAGGGATGCGGAACAGGCYAGAAATAGCCTGTTCCTCACGAACTCGAGCAGGAGCTGCAGCTGCAGCCCCTGCCTCCGATCGGCATTGGCAAGAGCAGCCTCCTGGACTGCTCGCACGAGCTAGGAGGCACCCCGGGTAGTACATAGGACCTTCCCAGGCACTTCACGGGCAGGTAGTCTCCAGTAGGCATGGTAGTCTTCAGGATTCGGCCTCGCCACTCAGGAGGAGCGCTGCAGTAGTCTTCAGCGCTAAGTAGTAGTAGTAGCGCTAGCTGTAGTCTTCGGCGCTGGGCGCCATAGCCATAGAGTAGTCTTCAGCACTGGGCGCTGGTAGGTGGTAGATCGTAGAGTGGGAGAGAGACTGGCGGAGGCCAGTGTTACTTACCTGTGGCGCCAACGCTCCAGCTCCATCTTCGTGGYACCTGCATCAAGGCGCCAACTTCACTGGTTAGTACTGGACACAGAGAGAGAGAGAGTTCTTCTTCTTCCTCTTCTAAGTCCACCTTCTCTTCTCACCCTCTCGCCACCTGACTTCTCAGACTACGACAGAGAGAGACAGAGTTGTGACTTGAGACTTGACGACATTGGATCCAGACTTGACATTTGGGATTCAGACAKTTCGACGAGGGACTATTTGGGCTTGTGCCGAAGACTTGGTGTTGACGACATTCCCATCTTCCCCCTCCTCTTCGTCTATCCCCTTCCTCTTCGTCTGTGTATGGTGTGGGCTGGCGCAGTCTTC